GATAATTTTAATAAAATTAAAAGTTCTTCCATTACTCCCCAAGGTCATGGGTAACAGGGTGGGCCCGAGGTCTGCACTTGGCTATGAACTTGAAGCCACTTTCAGCTTAAAGCCCACATTCTTCACCAGTACGTGGGCCCACAGCTGGGGTCTGGCCTCCAGGTCCATGCTCGCCAGTGACACGTCAGCCGTTACCAGCCACCAATTAATTACCTCTTGCAGGGGCACCTGACTGACGGATTGCATAAAACCAACTCAAGTTACTTTCCAAAGTACTTAACAAAAAATACATAAAAAAATACCAAGCCCCGTTGGGAGATGACTAATTGCCAACAGGTCAAATCAGATGATGTGATTGTTGGAATGAAAGGAGGCTACAGAAGGTTCATAATAATGACAACAGCATTGGGAATAAAGAACACTGAGAGGGAGCCTCAGGGTCAAACCCTCAGATCAAATTCTTCCCTGTTCTCAGGCCCCCCTGCTGAGCAGGGAGGCTCAGCCTGGCCCAATCAAGGGGTCAGCCCAGCCAAATGAGCTGGACAAATGCAGCCTGGATTTCTCAGATCAAAATTCCTTTCCCAGGCTCATCCCAAGTCCAAGGCCCTCGCCCACCTTCCAGGGCTGAGGGGCATGGTGGGACCCATGGGTATTTCTAGCAGGGAGAGGAAGATGCCAACTCCTTCCCCAGCACCCCATTCCTGCCTGCTTCTCCACCAGCCACAGTCTCACTGCTTTCCTTCGCACGTGCTGGGGCCCCTGCCTGGACTGCCTTTCCCTGGAGCACTCCTATCCATCCTTTCTAACTCAGTTTGCTCACCTCCTCCTGGAAGCCCTCTGTCATCTTCCTTCCAGCACCGTCCCTGACAGACAAGGTTAGGTGCCTGCCCTCTGTGCTCCCCTAACACCCTGACCAAACCTTGACCCCTGACCATGTTATTTCTTGATTATTCATTGGCCTGCCAAGCTCTCCCAGCACGCAGTAAGTCCGTTGATGGCGGCTCTATGACTATGGAATAGAGACTGGTGTCTGGCACATACTTGTACTCACATGTCAACAAACGTTTGTTAAATGCATTTATTAGTTAACACTATACCAGGAAAAGGTGGTGGTGGATGATTGGGGGTGCCCCCTGTTCTGGCAAGAGAAGGCAAGGGGGGGTCAGGGCGGAGCATGGGAAAAACCTCTATATTTTTAGCAAACACCCACCGAGTGCCTACACGTGCCAGATGCTGCAGCTGGGGCTCTGCAGAAGCTGCTGCCTTTACTCTCTGCAATAAAAGGCCCGGGCTCACCTCCCTTGGTGCCCACAGGACCCAGCCTGGGCAAGGAGGGTGATTCTCTAGGCTGGGCTTGCCACGGCTGGGCAGGCCCCCAAAGCCCTAATTCAGCTCAGAGGGGCCTGTGTCTGGATGTTACTCTTGTTTCAAAGGCGGCAGCTGTGTGACTTCCTGGGCAATGTTCCAGGTCGTTTCCCAGGCACACGAGGCTCTGCCTCTCACTTCCACTTCAAGTCCGACTTCCCTGCTTCCCCCTTCCTTATGCTTTATGCTCCAGGAATGCTGAAGCTTCCAGAATATACCATGTCGCTTTAAATCTCTGTGCATGTTTTGTTTCCTCTCTCTGGAATGCCTTTATCCTGTTTTGCCATTTGGCAAACTCCTACTGATCCTTCAAAACCCTGCTCAGACATCGCTGTCTCCAGGAAGCTCTCTGGCTTCTTTCTCAGGTGAGTTTATCACTCCACTCTCTACACTACCTGCCTCTATTTTTACAGTGATCTCATTTGTCTTCCTACAAGAGATGATGAAGTCTTTGGGAGCAGGGGCTGTATTTGAATCCATAGGTTCAAATATACAGCAAAGCCATGGATTCAAATACACAGCATGGCACTTGGCACCCAGTACGTGCAACTTCATTTCTTTCTTCTCTCTAGTGGGAGTCACGTTTCATAGCTTAAAATCAACCAGGAAGATATTTCACCCCAAAGGATGCTTATATCATAGTCAAGTCCCAGAAAATATCATCTCACTTTGCGTATCAGAGGGAATTAAATCCAGGTTCTATTTGTGGATTAATTGGGAGACGTGTCCTGGGGCAAGAAGGAGAACGTTTACCTTTCAGCTAATAGGGTTATGCCTCTGAAGAAATTACATGGTCTCTGCCGTCTCCTGCCTTCAGCTCCCCACTGCAGACTCAGGAAGGAGGAGGTGATTAAGACACATTTGCTACGAACCTCAAAGACTGATCATTACATCCCCCCGATCGATTGGGGCTCTGAAATGTGCAAAGGCAGGAGGGAGACACATCCGGCTTGATAGAAAAGACAAAATTGAGCAAGGTCGCCGTGTTGGTGCATTACGCTGGCGCTTCCAGAATTAACTGAAACCGGGGAAGGACTGCACTGGGAGGTGGGCAGAGGCAAAGGGATCGCGAGAGACTTACCACAATGATGTTTTCATGCTCCTGGGTAGTCAAGTTTGTGTTCTGAACGATGCAACGGAGAATGCAGGAGGAATAGAAGAGAAAGCAAAACAAAACAATATTAAGAAAATGGAACATCTGTATCTCAAAGGTCCACACAGTTTAAAAATGCTTTCAGCCCTCAGAGGGAGTAAAGCTGTCACTTTTTCTTAATTAAACAGATCAGAAGACCCTTAAAGGCAGGGTTGGGAAGGGGGAGAAGTATGGCTTCGGGGCAGGGAAAACTGAGTTCCAAGTCCCTGTTTCACCACTTGTAGATCATGTGACCCTGGACGAGTCACTTCTCAATGAGACTCAGTTTGTTCTTCTGTAAATTGGGATCTTCTTTAGGCTAAACCCGTCCTTGGCCCTGGTCCTAGTGATACCACCTGGAAACCAGAAGGCAGGTTTGTAAGAAACATGCAAAGAAACAGACTTTTGAGTCTTGATTCTGTGCCAGGCAGTCCTTTAGGAGCAGTAAATATATTATTTCCTTGGTTCGCAAACTAGGTTCCTAGGGAACACTAGTGTTGCATGAATTGGCCCAAGATGTTTCAGCTGAATTCAAATTCTAGCAATTAACTTGGGAAAACAATAAAAACTTGAAAGGATTAAACTTGCTTAATTTTTAGTTTTTTTTCCTCTCAATCTGGAATTTTCTTACATAACTGCTACCTGTTACCGCCATCCTGTGAGTATGCAAAAGAGGAAAGGGATGAATACATGATAAACGAGAAATCGTGGGAAAACTCAGAAACAGCCATTATTGTCTTTTTTGCTGGTTTCGTGATGAGTTCCACTTTGTCTGTTTGTCTTGGTGGACACGGGCTTTCAGTGGTGTCAATTCATATGTCCTAGCACAGCCATGTTGGCTGCTTGTAACGTGCCTCCTCATTTGGTCAGTGAACTGGCAGGACGGATGGTTCCCGGGTTCTAGAAAGCGCCCCATGGCACCCAACCGCTGACCAGGTTTAAGGAGTGTCAGTCAGGGTATCTAACATGTTTACACCAGCTAAAGCGAAAGAAAAGCTAGTGAGCCGAGAACTGCTTTTGCTCAGTAAGCTGGCTGCCCGAGGCATGGAGGCGGCCAGGGAACCAGGGTCAGTGCCTGAGCTCCCGGAGGCTCCAGTTCCCATGGGGACAGCCTGACCTAGGGGTTTAGCATCCAGGAACATGTGGAAGGATGTTTTTTGGATTCCAACACCTTCTTCCTTTTGTGGATGTTGGTGGAGTTTGGCGGCCTATTTATGGCAGATTATTAGGCATCAGTCATTTTTCCGCCCAGGGTAGATGAAAGCCTGGCTTTGGTCTTTCCTTATGACTGAGGACAAGCTCACTCTGCCTCAGACACTGTGTCAGAGCTGTGTAATACTCACCCCACCCGTCTCTCTTTCTTATGATAGGTTCTCCTGCTACTCCATCGACAGACGAGCTACCTAAGACTCAAAGAGGGGCAGTCGCTCACCCAGAGCACAGGTAACAGGCAGTGGAGTGGGGATTTGACCCATCTGTCCTGATTCCAAAGCCTGGATTTCTAACCACTGAGCTATCGTGCTCAACCCACCAAGGAGTGGTTCCATCTTTCAGGCAGCTCTGAAGGGACCAGCCGTCCCTCACCCCCACCCGTGCACCTTTCCAGGAAGAGCCCTCGGTGACCAGACGCCGTTTCCTTTGTCCCAGTTATCCCATGCCATTTTGCAGGAAAACTTCTCTCCACCAAGGCCATTTCTGACCCCAGGTGGTAAGCGCTCACTAAGAGCCACTGCACTGGAGGGGACACTTGAACCCCAAGCTGAGTGGCCACTCCACACACTCAACTCAACAAAGGCCGGGAGGTCGGGGACGCCGGCTTTGTTTGGCCAGTGGTGGATGGTTCTTTCTCAGAGCTGTTCTGCCACCTCACAGCCCCTCCTCCGCCTCCCCCCCCCCACCCGGAATCCTGCGCACCTTCTGGCCTGTGAGGCAACACTTGCAGCCTCTTAGGAGGAGGCCTTGGGAACAACTTGAGTAAAGAGAGCAGACAAAGAATCTAGCCCACACACTCTAAACAAAAAAGGGCGAGGAGAGAAGATTTGTTTGTTTTTCCACCCATCCCCTCTAGACATCTAGCTGAGGGTGCTTACAGTCAAGATCACACCCATCTCTGGTGACAATAAAAATGTGACCGTTTGTCAAACGTGCCCTGTCTGTCAGGCACAGGGCTGGGCACTGTATCCACACGAGGGCATCCGATCCTCAATGCTATGAAATGGGTGCCAACCTTAGCCCCCAACTCAAGGGTAGAAACTGGACCCTGAGAGGTCTCGTAATTGTCCTGAGGGCAGAGCTGGGTCCTTCGGACTCCACACACCTGCTCTTAACCACTGTCCCACACGGTCGGGTCTCCCCACTCGCTAAAACATCTCTACCAATTCAGGTTTACGTCACGTCTACACAGGTGATAAGCTTCACCATCGGGCAGAGCTGGGCGTGGATTCTGGCCTACCACTTATCCGAGTGACCCTGCTCACGCGACTGAACCTCCCGGAGTCTCGGTTTGCTCTTCGGCACATTTTAATACTTACCTTGTGGGGTCCCTGGGAGAAATGTAAAAGATCGGCTCTAAATTCTTGCCCAAGTGATCGCCACGGAGCATGTGCTCAAAAAAAGGTCAATGCCACTCGGAGAGGCATTAGGCCTTACTGAGGGGACGCTGCTGGGCTGCAGTCCCAGTTCTGTCTCTGACCAATGGCAGCGCTTATCAGTAAACGGGGGTAATATACTGATTCCTTGCCTGACAAACAGTAGGTGCACGGCATATACGAGCTTCTTCCACTTTTTCTCTTTCTTTAAATGCCTTTGTCTCTCCACGCTACCGCTTGGGGATCAGCTGACTTTGAGGTCCTTGATTTAAAGCCCAAGAAGTGATACAAAGGCCCAAGGGCACGTGGTCATGTGACACATATCTGAGATGGGAAAGAAATCCCGCCAGAGGCTGGCCACAGTGCCCCTCTGCCGCCTTTGCCATCGTCCTGATGACGAGCCTGACTTGATGGTGGACTGGTGGGGCTGCAGCCATGGGCAGTGTGATCTTGGAGTAAGAGCCAGGCAGCCCTGAGGTGGCATTTCCAGCCCCACTGCTCACTTGGCAGGTCACTTGGGTATCTCTGGGCCTCAGTTTCCTCATCTGCGAAATGGAGATGGCAAGGCTCCCCTCTCAGGGAGAACACGAGTATTAAGTGGGATGCTGTGTGCGAGGCAGCTGGCGCCTGCCTGGCACACAGCAGGTGCCTACTTCTCCAGATGAGAAGCCAGCCCCCGGCCTGCCAACTGGGCCCCGTCTCCTGTTCTGGGTGGGGAGCCTGGACTTGAGGTTGGGCACACAGCACCCACCTCGAATTCCAGACCTTGACCATGACTCGTTTCAGAGCCTGAGTCTCTACTTCTCTGCAGAACGAGGTTGGTCTCCCATTTGAGGACACATCCTCTGCTCCTCTGCCTGTGCCCGTCTCTGCCCCTCACTTTCTACCTCTCGTCCCCACCTCCTCCCAGAGCGAGGAACCCTCTATTCAGCAGACACGGCAGGCCTGGGCCAGTTTCCTGGACTGATGGGGAGTGACCAGCCTCGGCCTGCAGAGAGAGGGGCAGTTCTAGGCAGCAGGGAACTCGTGCGGGAGCCGGAGGGGGTGTGTAGGAGCTCCCCAGGGAACCAGGGGTGCCAGAGGAGCAGGGGCCACTCCCAGGGGAGGAGGACAGAAGCATCACCCTGGTGGCCATGCACAGTTTAAATCAGGAGTCATCAACTCCAGTGTCCCAGGAGGCCAGGCAGGCAAATAAACGAGAGAAGTATTAATGTTTGTGAGGTGCTTAGAATAGCGCCTAGAACAGAGTCAACAGAAATATGCTTCCTTCTAACGACCAGCATGACTGACGTGCTGATTCAGTCTCGTTGTTCCCCTCTGCCTTCCCTGCCGGAACGTGAGCCCAGGAGGGCAGGGTGTCTTCATTCGAAAGCCCAGAACAGTGCCTGGCACACACTCCCAGTGTGGGGCCGCCTGGCAAAGCACATGGTGCAGATGGGCGGCACCAGGCAGAGCCAGCTGCAAACTGCTGCTGCGTTTTCTGAGTGTTTTTAAAGAGAAGCTGGAAATTCCCGTTTTGTTGTGAAATCTCCTGATTTTTAAAATCATATCTGTAGGCTGTGGGGGGTGATTAGGGCAGAAAGCCATATCAGCCAGGACCTCTGGAGCTGATGCAGGCCGGTGCGGGAGGAAGACGGAGGCGGGTTGGGACTACCGGCTCCAATGCCACGGGGACAGGAAGGATGTGCTCCTGCCCAGGAATGTACTAGAGGATTGTGAAACCAACTGCCATCATCACCACCACCAGCCCAGCCTCAGGCCCAGGCCCAAGCCCAATACCCCCCCATCCCAAGTTCGGTCATGGGGCATGGCAGGGCCTTCATTCCTGCTATAACTCCTGGACAGCTCAGCTGGAAGCCCTGGGGGCAAACCTCCTTCTCAACTCCCTCAAATCGCTGGGGGGAACCACTCACCTCCTTCAGCAACGGGGAGACAACACAAACTCGAATCCAATTCTACTGCTTAGCGCAGAGTTGGTGCTCAGTGGAGGTAAAGGAAAAGAACTTAAAGGGGGGAGAACGTTCAAAAATCAAGCATGGGGAAGTGTCTTACCTCTGAGAGCAGTTTCGAGACAATTTCCAGTGGGGCTTGGTTGATGGAGTCGTCCTGCAGGGGGGATGTCAGGGCCATGTCCACCAGAGTTCGGATCTCCTTCAAGACAACTTCCCAACGGCTTGGGTTACTCAGGACTTTCTTATATTTGTAAATCTTTTTCTGGTTGGGAGAGAGAAAGAGACACAAAAAGTGTTATTGATATGCTGAGGGCCGAAGATACAAGATGATCCAAGAATCAGATGCGTTAGGATGTAAAAGGCCTGAGAAACTGTCAGTGTGGACCACTCTCTGCCCACAAGGAAACCGACACTTGAGAAAGGAAGAGTCGTGCCCAAAGTCACAGGTGCATGTGCAGACAGCCAGGCCTCCTGGACACTGGAAGAGTCATTTCCAATCATTTCAGATCACATCTTCTGCCAAACTTATTCCCCGAGTATTCACATGCAGTAAGAGTAGAAGCATTCACGGGTCCACAAAGGGATTTTCCTTGAGTTGGAGGCACTCTTTCTGCTCATCCCGATCCTAAGAGGTCCCCCTGGAGTGTGGTGTTCAGCTAAGACACCTGACAGACAGGCTTGGGGCCAGGAATTCAACTCCAGCCAGGTGGGGATGGAGCCCAGCATGGCCCCCGGGACACGTAAGGCGGCCCTTAGCTTCCACTTGGTGAGGAAGCCGGATTCTCACCTTTGCTCGGGCGCTGCGTCTGAAGTTGGAGAGCGGCTGGGGCAGGAGCCGCTGCCTCCCTCAATCTGAGGCAGAGTTAGTTCCGCCTCTCTGACATCATGGAAACAGAAGCCCTCGGAAGGCAGAGGTCTTAGCCAAAGGCTCCCTCCCGGCCCCGCAGCTGCCTGGCCCACTGCTGCCCCGGCTTGCCCGGGAATCTCTCTTTCTAACTGGATGAACTCCTTCATTAAGTGCTCTGCTCCTTGGGGAAAAACTAATTTTAGTGTCACTGCACCAGCAGCCAGCTGGGGTGACATGTCACAATCTCGGAGCCAAAGTCTGAACGAGGGAAGGACGAAGGAGGAGGTCAGGGTCCCCCACTGGCCCCAAGCTGCCAGGGTCTCCTTGACCACTTAGTTTCTGAGTTAAGAATTACAAAGTGGTCCTGGCCCAGTGCCTTAAAGGAAGTATTTGGGGGACTTAGTCCATATTCAAACTGAGGGGCTGATGGTGCTGAGTGAGGCCTCGTGGTGGAAGAGGAGGCAGACTCTGGAGTGAGACAGACCTGGTTCTTCCTGTAAAATATTCCACCTCCTGAGCCTCAGCGTCTCTTCTGTAAATTAGGCAGGAAAACACCTCTTCCAATGGGGAAGCTTTATAAATCCTGAACCCACGTGGTCCACTCTCTGCATGGAGTTACACTCAAAAGCACAGTCCAAATAGAAGAGCCACCAGGAACAAAAAGGGAACCCAGATGCTTAAGTGGTCTCTTTTGAAGAACTTTAAAGGGAGGAAATGTACAACCCACAGTGATACAGTGTCCCATTTTCTTTCTCCCATTTTTTTACACTCCCTAATTTTTAGAGCCTCTTACTTGCTAATCACCCCCCTATCACCACCACCATCACCCGCATCCTTAACTCACACCAAAGTTTATTCCCCTCATCATCCCAGACCTTGCTTATGTAAATGAATATAACTTGTCCCTCCCTCCTTCTCTCTCTCCCTCTCTCCTTTCACCGACCTTCCTGCCTATGACAGCCTCTCCTCATTCCACCTTTGGGTCTCACTGTTCTCTGCCTGTTCACCATCCCACATCAAAGACCAGAGAGAGACAAGCTCTCAGAGGGCCAGCAGGGCAGAGGACACAGCTGTTGAACTGATGGCACAGTCTCCATCAGGTGGGGGAGGAGAATGACCAGAAACATTTACTTGTCAATCATTTCGGATCCTATAAGGCCCGGGAGAAATGCACAGCGAGTTCCGTCAGGGGTGGGTGTTTAGTGAATAGTAAATATGCTTTTGATGGGGATGATGGTGACAATGAGTATTTGTTGAACCCCATGACTTTAATGACAAGATGCCCCAGGTTCCCTGTGGCTTCCCTGTGACTGTCACCAGCCTTGGTCCTAGTTACAGTCTAGGAGCCTGGAGCCTCCCCGCCCTGGCACAGCAAGCCAGGAGCACGGCCTTCCCGGCACTGCCAGGTCTATGCAAACACACAGTGCCTGACTTCTAACACGGTGGAGCCACTTCCCAAGGCAAGAACCCAATCCATCCCAGGGGATGAATGCTTCTTTGAGTCCTGGACACTGTGGTTTTGCTTCGTACCCAGAGAATTGCTGAATCTTTAAATGACCATGAAATGGTCACAGAAACTCGCCATATATTCAGCCCCAAAGAAAACCACAATGATGCATACCCCTGTCTTCCCACTGTAGATTCTAGATTTGAATACAGTCTGAGCTTTAAGTGCCCTCTTTTCTGATCAGCTGCAAGTTATTTACTTTACAAAGAATAATGAATTCATTCTTTTTGTGAAAATGATGCATGCACATTATAAGAAATTTAAACCAAGCTTAAAAGCACAAACAAGAGGATAAACGAAAAAAGCCTTCAAAAATCCCACAACCTAGAAATAGCCATCATTAATGTTCGGTGAACACTGATCCCGCCAACCCTCATTTAAACTTTGCCGAATCCAGCCAGCCTGTGGGAGTGAGCGGCTGTGAGTAGGTCCCCGCTCTCCACACTCAGACATCACTGAGACTCAGAGGCAGCGAGGCCCACGCAAAAGGGCCCCCTGGGCGCCACCAGCCCCAAAGCAGCTTCCGATGAGCCCCTTCCTGGGTGCACCCAGCCTCAGTGCTCACCGATACAGCCCCCTCCTTAGGGCGGGGAGGACAACAGCTGTCCCGTGAGCGCCTGAGCCCTTGCTTAAGAGGCATCCCCAGGACAGTGGTCACAGAGGCTGCACTCAAACCCTGAAGGTCCCAGGGGTTGTAACAAGGGCTAACATTCAATGAGCATGTACCACGTACGAGAGACTGTGCTGAGCACTTCTGAGCATCGTCTCATTCCATCCTCTCAGTAATCCTAGGAGCTGGGGACCTGCGCCACAGGCTAAGCAGCCCTGGGACAAGGACTTGAGTGCAAACAGTTTATTTATGTGAGAGGCGATGCAGGACACACAAGTGCAGGGCGGAAGCGAGAGTGCAGAAGGCAGGAAGAGAAGGGAGTCAGTTAACGGGGCAGCATCAAGCATTATGATGGCATCGGGCAACGGTGCCCACTGTGGGAACACGTGCTGAATCCCACGAGGGCTCTAGGAGACACTGGTCATGCCTCAGAGTGACCCACCCAGGGAGTAAGAAGTACAGCATTCATCCACCAGCCTCCTGGATGCTTGGTACTTCTGGCTGCCCTGTGCCCAGGCCAAAGTGCTCCCACACCAGAAAACAAGAGTCACACGCTCTCACAGTGAGCAGCTGTCAGAGCAGAACGATGCTGAGAGGGTGGGGCGCCTGCAACTTCTGCTACAAGACTCCAGTATCCCATTTACACACAAGACTACGGTGGCTGGAGAGGTGACATGACTTTGCCCAAGGTCATGCAGCTAGAAGGGACAATTCAAGAGTAAAATTGGCTCTGGTCGACTCCAAAGGTCTCCCTCTTTCTGTCACATCGGTCACGGCCAGCGCAGATGGTGGAGAGGAGGGACAGACCCGCCAAGAGACACTGCGAGGAAGGGGTCAAGAATGCTTGGTGGCATGGGATGAGGCCAGGACAAGTCCACACGGCTCTGAGAGCCAGGGCCCAGGGTGGAGGGGCCGTGGGAGGATCTGTGCGAGGGGCCGGTGGGAGCAGTAGGTGGACAGTGAGGCTGTGACGTCATGGTCATGGGGTGTGGGCAGGCCCCTGGGCCCCAGAAGATGCTCTGAGCCCTGGGACAGGGCAGCTGCAGGGCAGAGGGAGGCCTGTCCAGGACCACAGGGGCCCAGCCACTCGCCCTGGGTGACAAATTAGCAGGTTTCATCCCAGGAACTGCGAAGAGCTCATCTAGTGATGAATCACGGTGGGGCTGGGACAGGACATCTCTGGAACCCTGACTCCCAGACTCCCCGGAGCCTGGCCCTGGCTTTGCAGTGTGGTCCCCACATTGAGCCCACCTCACCAGGAGGGGTGGGGGACCTCGTGCCACGTCCAGCTGGATTCCTTTGACAGGGGCCTTGGAACTCTCTCCCTGCTTGTTTCTGTGTAAGGAAGCCAAGAGTGGTCTTATATTTTTTAAGGGTTGTGAAGAGAAAAAACCAAAAAAACAAAGAATATGTGACAGAAATCGAACGTGGCCCTAAAAGGCCCAAATATTTGCTCTCTGGCCCTTTAGAGAAAAAGTTTGCCAACACCTGGCTGAAAAGGTCAAACCCCAGCCTAGAAGTAAGTGCGCAGAAAGCTGCTCACCGCCATGAGCCAGCAGGAAAACGCAGGTTCAAACCAGAAAGAGACACCACTTCATACTCCCCAGGCTGGCTGTAACCAAAAAGACATGATACCAGGTGTGGGCCAGGATGTGGAGAAACTGGGATCCGTGCGCATTGCTGGTGGGAATGTAAATTAGTACAGCACCGCGGGGAAACAGTTTGACAGTTTCTTAAAACATTAAACATAAATTTATCATATGACCCAGCAATTCTGTTCATAGAAATCCACTCAAGAGAAATAAAACCAGACTCGACACAGAGACGTGTACATGAACGTCCACAGCATCATTACTCAGAACAGCCCCAAACTGGGAACAACTCAAGCGTCCATCAGCTGATGATGGATAAGTAAGATGTGTGTACCCAGACAATGGAATAGTACGGGGCAGTAAAAAGGATGGAACCACTCCTACTTGCTACAATATGTATGAACCTCACAACCATTACGCTAAGTGAAAGAAGGCACATGCAAAAGACATATTGTATGATTCCTTTGATATGAACTGTCTAGAAAAGGCAAATCTATAGAGACAAAAAGTGGAACAGTCATTGCCTGGGGTTGGGGGTGGCAATAGGGAATAGACTGCAAACAGACATGAGAGTATCTTGTAGGATGATGGAAATATCCTAAAACTAGATTGTAGTGATGGTTGCACAACTCTATAAATTTACTAAAATCATTGAATCATACACTTACAATAGGTGAATTTTATGGTATGTAAACTACACCTCAATTAAGGTGTTTTTAAAAAACCCCAACCTAGGCAGGCAAAGGAGGACATCAGACAAAGCCAGAGGCAGTACGGCTCAGTGATTAAGAGTGTAGATTTTGTAATCAGCAGATTGCAGTTCAAATCTAAGCTCTACTTCATCCACCCATCTCCCCGTCTCCCCATCTACCCATCTATCCATTCACTTATCCATCTACCCGTCACTCATCCATCCATCCATTCATCCGTCCATCATCCATCCAATCACCCAACAAAAATATCTACTATAATGTGCTAAGCACTGTGTTAAGTACTAAGGATACCCGTGGTGAGCACAGCAGACAGGCCCCCGTGCTCGAGGAACTTACAGTCTATTACTTGCTCCCTAGTTCTCTCATCTGCACTGTGGGATGAGAATAACTACTGTCAAAGGCTTGCCGTGGCTGTTCCATGAGATAATAGATAGAAAGAACTTAGCCCCGTTTGCTAAACAGCAGCTCTCGTTCTTACCACCTACCAAGTGCTGTGAGTGAGTGGTCCAGAGCAGGCAGGACTTAGGAGGGTTCCCAGCACCCGTGACTAAGCCCCACCAGCTCCCGAAACAACAGAGCCAGCAGGAAAAGCCTCCTGCCTCCTGTGCGGAACAGCCAGTCACTCCATTGCAGTCCTCGCCCTCTGCTTGTCAGGGAGGGGACGTTACCTGGGCAACATCCGCCATCTCTCCGGCAACTGCTCCCACAGCAGAGGCAACCACAGACGCCGGGGTGCTCCAGCCCGGGAAAGTGGAGCCTGTCGGCGTTTCCACAGGAGACAAGCTGTCACCCGGAAAGTGCCCCTCGCCAGGAGAGGCGTGACTCAGAATGTGCTGAAAGCACTCCTCCCGGTGATGGGGCTGCTGCTCTGTCGCTTGCCGCAGCCTCCGAGGCTGAGGCTCATACGAGCACGCATGCTCCCCACCACCTGTCATTAGAGGAAAGGCTGCCTGGGTGCTCCAGGAGCCACTGAGAAAAACGAGGGAGGAACCGGACCGGCTTTTAAAACTTCTCTCCAGTGGAGGTCCCATAGCTGTGCTGTCCAGCACGAAAGCTACCAGCCCCATGTGGCTACTTATGTTTAACTTAATTAAATGAAATACAACTAAGAATTCAGTGTGTCGGTCTCAATAGCCACGTTTCAGCTGCTCTTCAACGGCCACACGTGGCTCGTGGCTGCTATACTGGATGATGCAGGTAGAGAACATTTTCATCACTGCATGAAGTTCTATTGGGCAGTCCTGTCCTGAAGGCTTGGAGTCCCCTCTGTCACCACACCCCAGAGGACAAGCAGCATGCCCATCACTCGGGCAATGCTTATTTGCTGAGGCCAGTATGTGAGCGGCACCCTGCCACCATGCCCAGCTCCTCCAACTTTCCCTCTGAGGTCTACAGGGTGGTGTCCCCAAATGTCCCCTGCACACCCAGGGAGAATGACCAGTTGGGTGATTTCTCTGGCTTCCCTGATTCTTCCCTGATTCCCAGACAGGGGACCCCCGACCTCCTCATTCCTTCCAGACTTGCTGGGGCTGTGGATGCTGAAGTGTGCCAGCTAGCTCACCATTGCCGCCAAACCAGTGTGCTTCTGGGGGCTCCAACACTTGGGTGGGGGGCATTTTTGGCCTTCTCTTCAGTCCTCCAAAATGCCTTTTCTTAAATCCTTTTAGCATCAAGCACCATGACTTTGCCTTCAGATACAACCCAGGGCTGTGATTGGCTTCTGTGTGTCACCCCCAAACTGCCCATCTGGCCCTCAAGTCTTGATCATCAATCTAAGACCAGCTCATATCCTCTCAGCTCCCCTCGCGGACTCTGCACAGAGACCCCAACTTAGCTGATACAATTACCAAACTGTTACTGCTGATCCAACTAATTGACAGATGGCTTAATCAGCAAATACCCTCCAGGGACTCAGGTTTTTCAAGATGGGTGTAGGGACACCTACTCTGAGTGGGGCATTGGCTCTATGGAGGGGCCAGGAGTGGAGGAAATGACGCATAATGAGACCCGAGCCCAGCCCTGGTACTCAACTGTCGGCTGGAGAGTAAGGCTGGTTCAACACACTCTAACAAAGCCACAAATTACAGTAATACTGGCTACCACTTATCCACGGCTTACTGTGTTCCAGAACAACCACTCTGCATAATAGGTTGTGACAGGTGACACAAGAGCATAACTGTTATCACATTTGGAGGGCTCTCCATAGGCCAGCCCCTGTGCTGAGCATTTTGTATAAAATAAATCCTTTTAATCCTCACAACCACTCAGCGAGGTAAGTGGTATAATTAGTCCCATTTTACAGATGAGAAAACCGAGGCTGAGAGAGATTAAGTCATGTAGCTAGTAAGAGCCAGAGCGGGACGTGGGACCCAGGTCTAGCTTTGGATCCTGAGCCCCCGACCACCACGCCACTCTACTCTGAGAGGCAGACCAGGGTGCTTTCTCTGCCTCAATCGATGCTGCTGCCTCCTGCTGAAACGAACAAGATGTCCTTTAAATTGAAGCGTGGAGCCTTGCCTCCCCAGCTGCCCAGTGGCAGTTCCAGACTGGGCACAGCTGGGGGTCCAGCTGACATCTGCCTGGAAAACCAAGTCCTGGGGAGATGGGAAATTTGTTTGAAAGAGGGGAAAGAGCCCGGGCACTCAGCCCCGAGTCCCCACCGGGGGCGGTCTCCCTGCGGTGGTTACCGCTTCCAAGGAAACAGCAGGAACTTGGGCACAGTGTCCTGCTCATCGTCTCTGGGGCATCGGCTGGTTGCCTGAGCAACCAAGCATCTGGCTGGAGGGGAGCTGAACCAACTTTGGAGCCAGGCTCCCAGCTGGGTACTGCGTCCCACCTGGCACTTAGGGCCTGCTCGCACCCTTGGCAAAATCCAATCATCACACAGATCCATCCAACTGCTTTTAAAAAATCATAGGTAGCTGTTTTCCTCTCTGAGCTCTGGGCTCCTTGGGGGCAGAGATCACGCCTCATCTGCCTCTTCCCTGTTGGTGTGGTGGCTGGAGCCACTTAGGGCACACGGAAGGTGCTCTCAGAATTTGTAAAAGGGAGGAGAATAAAAACCAGAAATAATGGCTAACGTGTATGAAGTGCTTCTGCTGTGCCAGGCACTGCAGCAAATCCTTGAACCCTCCCAGCTCCTCAAACGCTGCTGTGCGCAGGAACCACCTGGGGGTTCTTGTTAAAAGGCAGATTCCAACTCAGTAGAGCCAGGTGGGGCCTAGGAGTCTGCACTTTGCAGTAGCTTCCCAGCGAGGCTGACGCTCCTGAGCCCTAAACAGAGTGCCTCAGTTACTCCTCCCTAGGAAGCAGACACGCTCACTCCGTCCCCAGGATACACAGAAGGGGGCACTGAGGGATTAATACTTTGCCTGAGGTCACACAGCTGGTGCTGTGGATTGAACTGTGTCCTCCAAAATGATACATCCAAGTCCTAATCCCTGGTATCTGTGAACGTGACCTTATTTGGAAATAACAGGTCTTCACAGATGCTATCAAGCTAAGGTGAGGTCATGCTAGATTCGAGTGGGCCCTGAATCTAACCACTGGTGTTCTTACTGAAAGGCCACGTGAAGACACACACACGCAAGGGAGAGAAGGCCATGTGAAGCTGGACTGGAGTGATGTGTCTACAAGCCAAGGAACACCAAGGGCGGTAGCAGACTCCAGAAGCCGGAAGAGGCAAGGGGAAGAACCTCTCTTAGAGTCTCTGGGGGGAGCACGGCCCTGCCAACACCTCGATGTTGGACTTCTGGCCCCAGAAGTGTGAGAGAACAAATTTCTGTTGTTTTAAGCCCCCCAGTTTGTGGTCGTCTGGTACAGAAGCCCCAGGACCCTCCCCCAGCTGGTAAGCAGCAAAGCAAGGCCGGACCCTGGGACGCCCGGCTCCTATGGCTCCGTTGCTCTGCTTCTGCCATTCGAGCTGACCCTTCCAATCCTTTTACGTTGTGGAGGTCGCAGCCTTGGGACTGTGGGTGATAGGGCATTAGCACCCAGGTCCCCTTGCTCTCGGTAGCCTCTCCCAGCTTGTCCTCAGTTTGGAATTTGTTGGGTTTTCTCTTCCAGGAGAGACCTGACCCCCTCGTCTTTCTTGTTCCCTCAGGGCGTGGAAACGCTGGCGTCCACTCTGGATGCCTGTCCCCAGCCTATTACTCGAGTGCACGAGCCCTGGTCCTGCGCTGCCTGGAGAAAGGCTGGGCAGGGATGCCTCACACCTGGGCACCTGCACCATCAGTGACGTTGGGAAGAGCCACCTGACCCCCAGGGAAGCTGCAGGGGGAACTCCCAGGAGAGTCAGGCAAGACGTCAGCACAGGGCTGGCTCAGGGTCCTCCGCCAAGAGGAGTCCCGAGCTGGACTCTGGCTCAGAGCAAGCGGAGCTCCCTGTCCTGTTATGAGGGCCACACACCAGCCAACAGCACCCCATCACACCAGCTCAAAACCCAGGATGGCCGGGCTCTAAGCTAAGAACTCATCCTGAAAGCTGTTTCCGGGATCTCAAGCCTGGCTGTGCGTTAGAACCACTTGGGGAGCTTAACAACATTCCAACAACAGAGTCAACCCCCAGCCAATCTCATCAGGCGGGTGTGGGGGGCGGGATGGAGCCTAGGCATCTGTATTTTCTTGGGCATTGGTATATTTTAAAGTATATTTAAACACCGATGTGCACAGAAACATTATTCACAATAGCCAAACGTTAGAAGTAACTTGAGTGTCCATTGATGGATGAATAGATAAACAAATGTGGTCTATCCACACAATGGAGTATTATTCAGTCATGAAAAGGAAGGAAATTCTGACACGTGCTACAGCATGGATGAACCTTGAAGGCATTATGCTAAGTGAAATGAGTCACAAAAGACGAATACTGTAGGATTCCACTTACAGGAGAGACCTAGAGTAGTCAGACTCATAGAGACAGGAACTAGAATGGTGGGGGTTGGGGGGAGGGCGGATGGGGAGGCAGTGTTTAATGGGGACAGAGTTTCAGTTTGGGAAGATGAAAAAGTTCTGGAGATGGATGGTGGTGGTGGTTGCGCAACAATGTGAATGTACTTAACGCTATAGAACTGTACACTTAGAAATGGTTAAAATGGTAAATTTCACATTATGCATATTTCATCACACTAAAAAAAACAGTATATTTAAAATCCCCTGGTGATTTGAGTGTGCAGCCAGGGGTCAGCACTGCTGGTCCAGCCTAAGGGGTCAGGTTCGACCCCCACTGTACAGATGAGGAGACCAGAACGTAGAGGAAATAGGAACCTGCTCCGGGTCAGAGCCAGGAGCCCTCCTCAGGATCGCCTCACTGTCCCGAGTCCTGGTCAACAAGCAGACCGTGAGCTGCACACAGGGAGAGCCTGGACCCGCTCTCGGCATTCTGGAAGTGCTCTGTCTCCACATGGCCCTCACCCCAGGAAGGCCATGTCTCCCAAGAGCCCCCTGCTATGGAACACACGGACAGTGTCCGAGGTGGGCTGCAAGAGCCTTCCAGCCTGGTCACCCCACTCTAGGGAGGGTGGGGTGCTTACCTGCCTGCCCCACTATCTGTGAACTCCCGGGAACTCAGAGACTCAGGCCAGGGTCTGTTCTGGCCCTCGGTGTACGCAGTCTAGTAAACTGAGAGGGGGGCACATACACATTCGAATTTCTGTTCTGCTACTTATAGCTGTGCGGCCTCTGGCAAATTGCATCACCTCTCTGAACCTTAGTTCCCTCATCTGTAAAATGGGGATGATAGTAACACTGGCCTCTTGCAGCTGTTGACAAGATGAAATGTGATATTTCATGTGGAACGCCCAGCGCTTTGTAGGGCTCAATAAACAGTAG